ACTATGTGGGAGTCCAGCGACATAGCCATTACGCTAACTGCTGGTTCCCAACTCACTGGATTTTTAACAAAGGTGTAAAACCTATTTGAATAGAGCACTGAGCACTGGAGAGAGGTGAGAAATCGCCCCCCAAAAGGGATGGCCACGCCGCAATCCCTTCTTCTCCAATCTCCTCTGGGGATTTTGGGCATGCACGCACAAGCACCCGGAGTGAGGTTTAAGCCTTAAGCCTCTTGTCCCGGATTCAAACAGTGGTCCACGACGTTGAAGTCCAGCGACGTAACCATTACGCCATCTGCTGGTCCCGAAGAATAGGATTTTTAACAAATGATGTTGAAGCAATTCAGACCCATAGGCAAATAAATAAATAAATAAATAAGTAAATAAAAGACCGTCGCCCTAAACCTTACATCTGTATAAAATATAACACAAAAGTGGGTCACAGGCTTAAGCGGAGAGCTATAAATTTGGGAACAGGGAGAAAGAACAGAGGGAGAGAGACAGAGACTCTAGAAAAAAGCAGGGGAGAAAGAGAAGGAGGCTTCGGAAACAGCTTCTGCTGCGCTCGGGGCGCATGCGCGGGTGCCTGAGCTCTCGCGAGACCTGCGACAGGCCCGTCGACTTCCGGTAGGGGAGCTCAGGCCCAGGGAACGGAGCGAGGGGGCAAAACCTGAGGCCGAAGGGCACGGCGGGGTCGCGAGCACCTAGACCCGGCCTGCGCGGAAGCCAGCGACAGCAGGTGAGCGCGGAGGGCCTGGCTGAGCCCCAGACCCGCCCGCTGTCGCCGCCATGGACCCGTTCCTGGTGCTGCTGCACTCGGTGTCGGCCAGCCTGTCTAGCAGCGAGCTGACGGAGCTGAAGTTCCTGTGCCACGGGCGTGTGGGCAAGAGGAAGCTGGAGCGCGTGGAGAGCGGCCTCGACCTCTTCTCCGTGCTGCTGGAGCAGAACGACCTGGAGCGCGAGCGCCCTGACCTGCTGCGCGAGCTGCTCACCTCCCTGCGGCGCCACGACCTGCTGCGGCGCCTGGACGACTTCGAGGCGGGCGCCCGGGCGGGAGCTGGGCCCAAAGAGGAAGGTGGGGGCGGAGTGGATCGGGAAGGAAGCTGGGGGAGGAAGGTGGGGACCCAGACCTGGCGGGCGGGTGAGTGCTGGGCAGGGCGAGGCAGGGCCCCTTCGCCCAACACTAGTTGTGATCCTCCCCAGCACCTAACTCTTGCCAGGTCTGATTGGCCTAGGTTTTTCCGAACAACCCTTGGACACGGGGGGTGGCCCACTTTGCAAATTGGAGAACCACAATGCAGGAAAGTTAGCTTACCCAAGGTTGCAGAGCCTGGGCGCCCACCCCCGGAACTTGGTATTTTGTCCACCACCCTAATCTCTCCAAGTAATTAGAAAATCCACTGAAGAAGAGGGCGTTGCCAGCTTCTGGGTGGGGAGAGGAGGTGAGGCAGAGATTAGGTGAATCTGCTGCTCTGACCATTGATTTCCTTTCTGCCTCTGGCAAAAGCCCAGCTAATTGAAGGCAAGGCCTTCTCGAAATAATACCGTACAATGAATAACTCCTATCCAGTGGCTTAAAGTATGCCAGCTTCTATTTTAAGCACTTGCTGTGTTATTTAATCCTCACAGTCGTGCTGCCAGTGACATGCTATTATCATCCCTCGTAATTCCCATTTTACAGAGAGGAGGATTGTGGCTCACTGGCTTGCAGAAAGCACAGCTGATACAGAGCTCAGACTGAGCCAAGGCAGTCTGGGAACAGAGTAGTGGTTTGGCCACTACACTGGCTCTTTAATGAAGTTCATTTTGTAGTGTCTTCCCACCCGGCTCTCAGTCACCCCCCCCCCTCACTTGTGTAGTGGAAGGAGTTCTAGGAGTTAAAGGGAACCCGAGTCCAGTCTTACCTCCTTATGCTCAGAGCCAGGGGGAGGACTTAGAGAGTACTCTGGGGGGTACCCGTCATGGGTTTTGAGCTGTGGCCTGGCATCAGCCATTCAGTCACAAAACCAGATGGCACAAACGTGACACAGCAGGGCTCGCTATGAGGATTGGTGCTTACTACTGACAAGCTGGACAGCATGGCTCCGCCTGAAAGCAGTCAGATTCCGATTTTACACACCTACACAGTGCTGGAAAAACCAACCTTATGTTTTCAAAGCTATTTAATGATGAGAGAGTGCTGGTAAGATAAATAGACAATCCAAAAAATGTGTATGAAATTTTTAGGTTCGTGTGGTTGTTGTATATACAAGGGTGTGCATGGGTGTGTTTACGCAGTTGTTCTGTGTAGGAGGAAAGTACACCGGATGTGTTGATAATGGGTGATTCTTTCACAGAAGACAGTTTGCGTCATGGTTAAGAAGAAGTAGACTCTGGCTCTGCCATTTGTCTAGCTCTGTGACCTAGAATGAAAGTCACTTAACTCCGCTCTGCTTCAGTGTCCTCATCTGTACAAGTGGCCATGGTTAACACAGGTTGCCAGCTCAAAGGGTCATTGGGGCTGGAGGCATGGCTTTGGAGTACTCGCTGGTGATGTCGCAGGTTTGCAAAGATCTAAATTTTGGGAGTCCTTCCTGTCTTCCCCCCATGTTGCAGAAACAGTCTTTTATTATTTGCACAGCTCAGCGTGCGGATCTCAGTAGTGACTCTTCAGCAGATGAGATGCCTGGTAGCCAGGACCAGATTGGTGACTGTCACTGTCTTTTTCAGTTCCTGGAGTTCTAGGCATTCCTCTTTTTTTTTTTTTTTTATATTGCTAGAGAGTATATGCAACTCACCAGAGAGAAATGGAGAGGTGAAAGCACTCACCACAGAGAATGATCACACCACAATCCCTTCTCTCTCTCTCCCTTCTTTTGGAATTTGAGGCATACACATACATGCCTAGCGTATTTTTTCAAGCTGCCAGGTCCAGGACTTGAACACATGATCAGCCATGTGAGGTCTAGTTCACATATCCACCAGACCACGGGGCCAGCCAATCCAGGCGTTTCTGAGCTCATGACTGACTTAGTCCAATCTCTTCTTCAGTGGTCACATAGCCTTCCCTGTGCGTGTCTTATAAGGATGTCTGTCATTGCATTTAGGGACCAGCAGATAATCCAGAATGCTCTCTTAAGAGCCTTACCTTAATTACTTTTGCAAAGACCTATTTTTAAGTTGACGATGATCCTAGTAGTTCGACATGGAGATATCTTTTGGAGTGGGGAGACAACCCATCATTCAACCCACTGTGGAGTGGGATGTGGAAGCAATCTTATTTCTTTCCCTCTGACTACTCTTCAGCCCCTCCTTCAGTTTCCCTTGTCCTAAACAAGTAGCTCCACTAGAACCTGCTCCAGCAGTCAAGTCAGTGGGTCACAACTCTTAGGGAATTATTATTTTATTTATTGGTTGATTTGCCATAGGGTGTATGTGCTCACCAGACAAGACAAGAAAAGTGACAAATCACTCTCCCACCCCCTCAGGAGGGTGACCATGCCACAATCCCTTCTCTCAGGAATTTGGGCACTTAGACACACATTCTTAGCATGAGTTTCAAGCCACTGGGTCCGGAACTCAAACTGTGGTTACCATGTGGGAATCCAGGGCCTTAACCACTATACGACTGGCTAGCCCTAGGGAATTATATTATGGATGGGGGCTGGCTGAACTGGATTCACAGGCCACACTTGGGCTTTCTGTGACAGCCCTTCTGCTGGTGGGTGACTGACTGTATCCTCTGCAGAAGACCTTGTATGGAGACAGTTCTGTCTCCCCACCACTCAGGTCAGCTCTGAGAAGCTCCTGAGGAGAGAGTGGTGGTGTCTTTCTCTTAAAGATCTCCCCCAGAATGCCAATAAATAATTTTGTTTTTCTCTCCTCAGATCTGCGTGCAGCGTTTGACATCATATGTGAAAATGTGGGGAAAGACTGGAGAAGATTGGCTCGTCAGCTTAAGGTTTCTGACACCAAGATCGATGGCATCGAGGAGCGGTATCCCCGTAACCTCACGGAACAGGTGAGAGAATCACTGCGGATCTGGAAGAACACCCAGAGGGACAATGCGACCGTGGTCAACCTGGTGAAAGCACTTAGGGCCTGCGAGATGAACCTGGTGGCTGACCTCGTGGAGGACGAGCAGCAGGCCCGGGACCTCCAGAACGGGGGTGAGGCTGCATCCCCGATGTCCTGGGATTCGGACGTGTCCACCTCAGGGGCACCCTGACTAGCCACTGCTCTGCTCCAGAAGCTCGTGGGCACCTGCAGTCCGAGCTTTGTTCTCTCCAAGGGGAATCCAGTGCCTTCTCGCCCATCTCCTGAAGACCCAGCAGGGAATCTCGCAGAACCCCAGACAGCTGCTTCTAAATCAGAGTGGCATTTCGTGAACGCTCCTTCTGCTCCAGGCAGGGTGTGGGCACTACAGATGTCCTCATCATTGCTCTATGAGAGGGTCTTTATTAAATGAGTTCTAGAGAAAGTTGGAATCACGTCCAGCACAGAGAAGGAAACTACAAATGAGCAGTGATTGCTGTTATTTTACAGGTGAGGGCATGCGCTCAGAGAGGCTGTACAACTGGAGGAGAGCAAAGTAGTGACAGCAGAGCCCAGTCTTGATTTGAATTGATTTTGCTGGAGGGCATGTATGCTAGCCAGAGAGAGACTGAGGAGGGGAGTGAGAAAGCACCACCCCATGGGGGATGGCCACTCTGGAATCCCTTCTCCTTTTTTCCCTTTGGGGTTTTGGGTGCACATGCACCTGGCATGTTTTTCAAGCCACTGGGTCCAGGACTCAAACTGTATAGTCGGTTATGTAGGATCCAGCTACATTAACCACCATGCCAACAGCGGTCTGGGCCCTTGCTTTTAATCACTGTGTCTTTGCTGTTCCCACAGTCGGCAGAGGAGTTATCCTCTTTCCTTTGAGGCTATCAGACTTGAGGATCAGGCAGCCTCTTAGGGAAGAGGGAAAACAAATGTCCTGGTCTAGGAGTCCTGTGACTTGGGTTAGCCATGGTTCAGCTCTTGACCCTTTGAGAGTTGAGTCCCCTCTCTGAGTTGACAAAGTAGGGACACCTCTGTGAGGATTGCCAAGTAGTTCAACGCTCTGTAAATGTTTTTTTGTTTGTTTGTTTTTAATAAGGATTATGATTCCTTTGATTCTAAACTTTGTTACTATTTTGTATCAAAATCACTAACAGAATTGGCATGGAAGTGGGACCTTGTTTTTTAAAAGGCAATCCTCTTCTAAGGTCATCCTATTAAGTGCCTTTATGATGGATACCTGCACTTTACAAAGAAATTTCCATTCCTTTTGATGATTCTTTCATTTCAAATGCAGTATTGTCAAAAGTCCCTTGCAAATTTTCCCTGACCCCAGCCTGTGAGTAGGGCCTCTGGGTTTCCTGGCAGCTGATACTCAGGCTAAGGAGTAGAGTGCTAAGTGGCCTTAAGCAGTGCTCCTATTGTCTGCTGTCATGGCTGGGCTCCCAGGTCCCTGTTTTTTGTCCTAGTTCTCCACCTGTGACCTTGGGAAGGTCATGTGTGCCATGTTGTGCAATCTTGACCTTGGACGACTGAGATCTTAGGGCCACAGGAAGCATGATCTCCACTAAACTTGGACCCCTGCCTGTGAGCCCTTCCACCAAATAGTGTCTTGTGCTAGGCACCATGCTAAGAGGGCTGTGGCATTGAACAAAGCAGAAGGATCCCTGTCCTGTTGGCTCTGGAAGCCTGCCTGGGAACTCGTATTAATCAGCTCTTTACAAGTGATTACTGCCAGGAAACTGAGCCATTGCAGCCCCATAACTGGCTTGAGCCTGTACATCTCTCCTAGCAGCACCTGCTTCTTCAAGCCTCAGGTCAGGGCTAGCTGTAGAGTACAGACACATCCCTCACTGTCAAAGTACCTTGGTTTTAGGAAGTAGATCTTCTGGGAGCAAATTGTGTGTGTGTGTGTGTGTGTGTGTGTGTGTGTGTGTGTGATTTTTTTTTTTTTTTTTGAGAGAGATTTTTGCTACAAGGTGCATGTGCTCTCTAGAGAAACGGAGAGACTGAAAACAAGAAGTCACCCCTGCAGGGGAGATAGTCATGCTGCAATCCCTTCTCCATTATCCTCTCAGGACTCGGAGCAGGCACACATGCATATATGGCATGAATTCTAAGCCACCAGGTTCAGGACTCAAACCATGGTGGACCATGTGGGAGTCTTATGCCTTAACCACTACACCATCTGCTGCCCCCAGTACTCATTTCTTGAACAGAGACCGATTTCAGAGTTGCTACCATGCCCATAAAAATTTATGGCATAGCCTTTTGGTTCTCTGAGCAGTACCATGGCAGTTGGCAAGAACAAGACCCTCATAAAAGAGGGGTAGGAAGAAAGTGATTGATCCGTTTTCTCAAAACGATTTGTATGATGTTAAAGTGCCTGCTATGTTCAGTATAAAAAATATTGGGAAAACACTAGTCACCAAGACTCAAGGAGTCAGATTTTAACTGATGGCCTTAAGGGCCATGTGTTTGAAGTGGTCCTTATAGATCTACAGAATGTGCTTCTGACAGTGCCAGACTCCTGAAAGTTATCTAAGCAGCTCTCTCCTTCATGTTTGCATTCTGGACTTCAGCATCTCAAAAAATGATAATATCCCTGGGGCATTTCTGAATCTAAACTGGTCTGTTAGCTCTGTTATAAGTGAAATCTACTTCTCTGATAGTGTCCAGTAGGTGACTAGGGGATGGTGACACAAGCATGGCACCTGTAGTATACATTTTTCAGTTGTCTTTCATATCTGACCCACACAGTCTGCCTGGCATTCAACACTTACTACATGCATCTGGACAGTTTTGCAGCATTCCCTACCATCTCTGTGGGGACCAAATACATGCAAATGTGACATGACCCATTCAATTTTATATCTATATAGATAATCTGTGGCTACATCACTTTAACTATTTTAATGCACTCCCTGCCCCAATTAAAAGTACTTACAAGGAACTAGCAGATGGCATAATGGTTATTTTGCTGGACTCCCATGTAGTTAACTGCTGTTGGAGTCCTGGACCCAGTGGCTTAAAACTCACGCTGGGAGTGTGTGTGTTGGTGTGTGTGTGTGTGTGTGGTTTTTTTTTTTTTTTTTTTGAGAGAGATTTTTGCTACAAGGTGCATGTGCTCTCTAGAGAAACGGAGAGACTGAAAACAAGAAGTCACCCCTGCAGGGGAGATAGTCATGCTGCAATCCCTTCTCCATTATCCTCTCAGGACTCGGAGCAGGCACACATGCATATATGGCATGAATTCTAAGCCACCAGGTTCAGGACTCAAACCATGGTGGACCATGTGGGAGTCTTATGCCTTAACCACTACACCACCTGCTGCCCCCAGTACTCATTTCTTGAACAGAGACCGATTTCAGAGTTGCTACCATGCCCATAAAAATTTATGGCATAGCCTTTTGGTTCTCTGAGCAGTACCATGGCAGTTGGCAAGAACAAGACCCTCATAAAAGAGGGGTAGGAAGAAAGTGATTGATCCGTTTTCTCAAAACGATTTGTATGATGTTAAAGTGCCTGCTATGTTCAGTATAAAAAATATTGGGAAAACACTAGTCACCAAGACTCAAGGAGTCAGATTTTAACTGATGGCCTTAAGGGCCATGTGTTTGAAGTGGTCCTTATAGATCTACAGAATGATGAAGTCACATTTAGGAAATTCAAGCTAATGACTGAGGATGTTCAGGAACAAAAACTTAACTAACTTCCACGGCATGGATGTCACCTGTGACAAAACAGGTTTCATGGTCAAAAAATGACAGACCATTATTGAAGCTCATGTTGACGTCAACTACCAATGGTCGTTTTGTCTCTTTGTTGATTTTACTAAAAAACACAACAATCAGATAGAGAGTCTCTTAGGCTCAGCATCATAAGATCTGCCAAACCTGGAAGAAGATGATGGAAATCATGACTTGAGAGGGGAGACAGATGACTTGAAAGAAATGGTTAAAAAACCGATCCCAGACAGCACTGGAAAAGATATCAAAAGGCCGGCCGATCCAGCTGTCCTCTCCATGATGTGTTCGTCAGAAAAGTCAAAATGCTGAAGCCCAAGTTTGGGGAAAACTGGTGGAACTTCGTGGTGAAGGTGGTAGTTCTGGGGAAGCTACTGGGATGTGATGGGTGCTAAAGTCAAATAAGCTGGTGGATATGATCCACTAGTCCAAGACTCTGTTAAAAGTTCAGACTTCTAATTAGTGACAGAAAGTACTATTTGTGTTCCATGTGGGAAGTTCATGGCCTACTGTCTTGTGGAAATGCCTCTCATCTCCTTGCATGCCTCTCATGCCTAGAAAGAACCCTGGCTGACCATCACACCAGGTGTGCTGAAAGGATCTTGGAGAACGTGAGACCACTACACCTACAGTTTTCCATTGCTTGGGAGCAAATGCCGAGCGGGACTTCGTCCTCAGCCTGCTGCCGGTGCAGTGTGCCCCTGTGGCCCACCCATCCCTCTTGTCCTGTATCAGATGAATGGTCGAGTCTCTTGCCCTGGGCACTAACATTCCAGAACTCTTCCTTCTGAGGGAGAAGGCACAGATGGGCTCTGCACCAGTCTTACCCAATCCACTCAGTGACTTGCTGAAACAAAGATGAGTTCCCAACCTCAGCCATCCTCTCTGTCTTCACGGCTCGGCCATTCATGCTGTCCACAACCCAGGATGGGGAGGTGGTGGGCCAGCCCCTGACAGTGAAGTTTAAGGGCATAGTGACATAGGGAACTCACAGAAACTGCCCCCAGACACAGGACACAGATAGGCACATGTAGGTGCCTAGCCGGCTAGTCAGCCTCTGTTCCCAAGGCAGCCTCTTCCTGGGCACTGCACCCAGTCCTGAGGCTGTGGCTGAATGAGAGGGGCGGACTGCCCAGCTTTGGGAATCCAAGGGAAGGTGAGTCATGCAAATAACACAAGTGCAGGGGAAAGGCTGGTGCTTCTGCAGGTGCCGAAGGTGGCAGGCGGCAGCAGCAATGTCTGCAGTGGTGCTTATTTTCTGGGTTACAGACTTAACAATTTTCTGTACCATGTTTTCCATAATCTGTTTTTCGTATTTTTGGGTTTTTTTTTTTTTTTTTTTAAAGCTGTGATGGATGTGACCTGGACTACTTGGTGGGATGTTCCTAGGGAGCAGTGGGCTTTTGCACTTGGCCTGGGCTCCATCCCTGAAAGAGAGCTAGTTAGTTCATTAATTGCCAAAATTTCTGGTGATTAAAAGTTTCTCAGGTATCTGAAAAGTAAACTACAAATTTCATCCAGAGCCTCAGCAGTCAGTCAGGCCAGAGTATTCTTTTACCTGTCAGTGGTCTAACATCTGAGCCAGTATCCGCCTGGTCCTAAGCGCCATCTCCCGTTCTGACAGCCGACCTGCCCCGTGCAGGAGGCTGGGAGAGCAGGTGAAGAGTATTTCCTCACATTGTTGGAATCACTGCTGCGAGGGAAAGGGGCTCTGGATCTTCCAGCCCTCTTGGAACAGGTGTCACTGAAGTCCAGTTGGCACTGTGGCGTTGGATTAGGTTCAGTTACCCGTACCTGCATAGGGAGCTGCTGCAGTTTTTCTCGAAACAACAAAAAACTCTGTCTCTTTTTAGCAGTTGTGAAATTTGTGTTTATGATGAAAGTGCATATAAATCCTATGTTGGCCTTAGTCATTTTTCCTTTGAAAAGAGGCAGGGGAGTGGGGGAGAATAGGCCAAATG